CCACCTAATGAGATGACATCACTCTCTTGCTTAAGATCTGGTAACAGCTCCTCAGTGCACTTAGAAAAAAACTCCAAATACCTCCCAGAGCCCCAGAAAGCCTTGCCTGACTCGCCAGCCTCATCCCCTATACGCTCACCCCGTTCCAGTCTCCCATGACCTCGTTTCGGGTCCTCAGACCATCCAAAGCCTGTTCCTGCTTCAGGCCTTGGCACCTGCTGTTCCCTGTGCCAGGAACACTGCTCCCAGCTCTTCTTGGGGCTGCCTACTGCCCGTAAGTTCTCACCTCAGATGTCAGCTCTACCACCAAATGTAAACCATCTCCCTCCACTCACATCATACACCATGCTGGTTGGCTCCTTCACACAACCTGCCTCCATCTACAATTATGCTGTGTAGTTGCTGGATGTCTGCCTCCCCGCGTAGACACTGAGCTCTGTCAGGCAGGGGCCCTGCTGGTCTTCTTCACTGGAGTACTCTCAGCCCTTAGCAGACGGCACGGCGTTGATGTTCATTCTACTTATCGGATTAACGCATGAATGGATGAATGAATGAAGAAGTAAGACGCAACTACCAACACACTCCAAGCTTTGTCACTTTGAGGACTAAGGTGTCCCTGACCCACGACATGGTATTTTCAATCGCCTCATGTGAAAGCTGGACAATGAATAAGGAAGACCAAAGAAGAATTGAAGCCTCTGAATTACAGTGTTGGTGAAAAATATGGGATATGCCATGGACTGCCAGAAGAATGAATAAATGTGTCTTGGAAGAAGTACAGCCAGAATGCTCCTTAGAAGCAAGGATGGCGAGATTTCATCTCACGTACTTTGGACATGTTATCAGAAGGGACCAGTCTTTGGAGAAGGACATCATGTTTGGTTAAGTAGAAGGTCAGCGAAAAAGAGGAAGACCATCAATGAGATGGACTGACACAGTGGCTGCAACAATGGGCTCAAGCATAACGATTGTGAGGATGGCACAGGATCAGGCAGTGTTTCGTTCTGTTGCACACAGGGTCACTATGAAGCAGAACCGACTCGACCGCACGTACCACCACCACCACCAAAACAATGACAGAGTGTAGACTTTGTATGTTAAAAAAACACTTACAGGTAGATACAGATGTAGATATATATACATAGGTTTTGAAGAGAAATACTGATCATGAAATTAAAATGATATATTCATAAAGACTTCACTGATAAGTGAGTCATTCAATACTTAACATACTTTCATGTAACTTTTGAGCTTTTATATTTGTATAAGTTATTTTTGTTTTAAAAAATAGCTCTGACTCAGTTTTCCTATTAGAAAGCTGAGACCTGTACACCTTATGGGGTTGTTGTATTAAATAAGGTAATCCATGCAAAAAACCTAGCATGTGTCTGGCCTATGGTAAGAGCAAGAAATGCTTATTTACAATGTATTCTAATTACCTAATAAAAGAGAAGAGGAGGAACACAGGCCTACTTAATTTCCCATCATAAGTGAATTGAGTACTACTGTACTTTTCTTCACTTACGTTCTTAGGATTAATTGCAAATTTTACTTTTCTATACAATGTTTATTCAAAAAGACATTTGTCTGAGCCCACTTCCTGTATATAAAGCGAGGCAAGTTTGTCCGGGCAAGGTAACGGCATTACCCAGCAAATACCTAAACCCCAATTAGAAGAGGCTGCAGGCCTAAAGCCTGCCCAACGTGCACAGAAGTCCCGTTCTGGTCCCACTCTGTGCGGTGGCATCCCACAGACTCACACCAGCAACAGCACACACAGCCTGCAGAGCACACACACAATCACAACGATCTGGCCCCTCCAACCGAGGCAACGACTGACTGACCCACCAACAGTCCGAGTCTGCCCTGTGGACAGATGCACTGCGTCCACTGCTAAAGGGGGTCTTGGGGGCACAATGACAGGAAGACGTGCTTTAAGACACTTCCTCTGGAGAGGTCAGTGACCCGAGCATGAGAGAAGGGAAGGGGAGGGGGAAGGTGTAAATCCACTACCACTGTGCTCCGTCTAACCAACTGGGTTAGAGAAGAAATCCAGTGTCAAGAAGTTCAAAGAAGATAAGCAGGTTACAGTCAAAGCAACTCATACAAATCTAGCAGAAGTAATTACACTCTATTACAGAGGAAACCCTGACATACCAAAGTAAAAAATTCACAATTCTGGATATAAAGCAAGATTTGAAAATAGTAACATAGAACTTCTCCATCTCAAAATCTAAAATATGGAGTGTCTATGTGTGTGTATGTTTCTGGAAGGAAGTCTAACAGTGAGTTTCTGTTTTTCTGCAAAAGTGAGGGTGTTGGCAGTGGGGAGTGGGTGACCTCCTATCATCTACTACCTTTATTAATAAAGTACGTTTTAACATCAAAAAAAGAATAAAGTACATTATCTCAGAATAGTCCTTACCCAGAAAGTGTGGTTATAACTTTATACTAACATATAGCCCAATTCACTGCTGTCGAGTCACTTCTGACTCATAGCGACCCTATAGGACAGAGTAGAACTGCCCCGTAGGGTTTCCAAGGTTATAAATTTTTATGGACGCAGACTACCACACCTTTTTCCCATAGAGCTGCCGGTGGGTTCGAACTGTGGACCTTTTTGGTTAGCAGCTGAGCGCTTTAACCACTGTGCCAGCAGGGCTCCTATAATAGCATGTACACGTTCATATTTTCATAAACATTTATACTATTCTTATTTTGCTCATTTTTCTACAGACTCATGACAATTTCAATGCAGATTAAAGAGCCAAACCAAGCACTAACCTCTCAATATCGTAGGGACAACGTGCATTTTGCATTTTTTTAGAAAAATTAATTATCGCTGTAAATAGGAATCACAAAGAGACTGTTGACAAGAAATCTTCACTGTCATGTTGTTAAAGGTCAGCACTGCCATCTCCATTCCACAGAGATTTTTATGATAATCATTCAAAAGTCACCGAATCAAGAAACAGAATATATTTTTGAAAGAAAGTCTGCATTAATATCCATTAGGGTTGTTATTCAAGAAGAAAAATAACAAAAATAAGAGAAAATACTGCTGTTCTCTGCTTTGGCGTTTTTGTTTAAATGGTATTAGGGTGGCTAAGTTCAAGAAGCCATTTCTTTAAAAAAAATTTTTTTTTATTGTTGTAGTTTAAATGAAAGTTTACAAGTTAGTGTCTCATACAAAAATTTATACAGACACCGTTATGTGACCCTAATTGCTTTCCCTATACTGTGACAGCACACTCCTCCTTTCCACCCCTGATTTCCCGTGTCCATTCAACCAGCTCCTGACCCTCTCTGCCTTCTCATCTCACCTCTGGACAGAATCTGCCCATTTAGTCTCATGTATTTACTTGGGCTAAGAAGCATATTCCTCATGAGTATCATTTTATGTAAAGGAGCCATTTCTTGTCATCAGTGGAAGGGTCCCGGGCCCTTGGAGGCCTCCCTGAGGGGCAAGGGTCTGAATCACAGCAGAGCCAGGAACCTGAAGCAGTGGGTCCTCTCGCAGCCCACCTGATACTGGACTGGGAGGAACTGTGGGTAGTTTCGGCCCCACTGTACAGTGTGGGGAAGCTCTCTACCAGTCCCTATGCCCCAATCCTTCTACGTAAAGAAGGAATGCTAGGTCAGGTACCAGGACATTATCCTGCTACTGAGCAAGGTCACTGTGCGGTAAAATGTGGTCACTTGAGACGACCACCTCCCGCTGCCTCACTGGGGGTTTGGATGCGCCCCCCCCTTTGGTGTCTACTCCACTAGCTGACGGTAAAATCTGGGTTTCGTCCTGGATGGACAGAGACTCCTTCAGTCTTAGCTCATCTTATCAAAGTTCCTTGCATTTAGGTTTCCGGCATAAGCACCAACCAATCATCCAACCAGCCACCGGGTTACAATAAAAATTCAGTGCTTCCCTTTCCATGAGCCCCTGTATGGTATACGTACCCTGAAGACCTCACAAGGGGGAGAGGTTGCTGTGCGATGCAAAATTTGGACGTCCCTGCCTTTTTTTTTGCCTAAAACTATCTAACGTCATTCCGAGTCCACTTACAAGGCACTAAAACCACTTGCTCCGTGTGCACGTGTGAGGGGAGGAGAGGGCTCCAGTTGATAGCAGGCTAATCTAGGGTCATTAAAAACCCACCCATTGCCGTCGAGTCGATTCTGACTCATGGTGACCCTACAGGACAGAGTAGAACTACCCTATCGGGTTTCCAAGCCCGTAAATCCTTACAGAAGCCAACTGCCACTTCTTTCTCCTGCTGAGTGGCTGGTGGGTTCAAATCGCTGACCTTCTGGTTGGCAGCCGCACGCTTAACTACTGTGTCACCAGGGCTCCCAAACCAAAAAAACAAACCCATTGCTGTCAGAACGATTCTGACTCACAGTGACCCTACAGGACAGAGCAGAACTGCCCCATAGGGTTTCCAAGGAGTGCTGGTGGATTCAAACTGCCGATCTTTTGGTTAGCAGCCGCGCTCTTAACCACCGTGCCAACAGGGCTCCACCCGGGCTCCAGGGTAACTAAAACAGCTGCCAGTTAGAAAAGGTGCCCATGCCAAACATTAACAGCACAATGCCGTTTCTTCTATATTCCTTTGCTTCACTGTTTCTCTTCTCAGCTCGTCTGAACCCCTCCCCTTCATCCTCCTTACCCATGCCTTTAGGCTAACAGCCGCACCTGACGGAATCCTCTTAATCTGCTTCTCCTTCCACAGGGCACAGAGATGCCAGGGTTGATCAGAATCTACCAACCTCTTACACAATTCTGCCTGAACAGGCGCCTCATGACCTTTGGTTCAAACTAAATTTCCTCCTCATCCTCATAATCTGGGGCAATCAGAGGCAGAACAGGAGTCTCAGGTCACGGACCAACCTAAGTGTCACCAGGCCACCACAAAATGGGATTCCTTTAGAGCAAGGGTTTTATTATTTTTAACTTTGTCACAGATCAAAGATATAAAATTAAAAAAAAAAAAGCAAAAACTTACTGTTATTGGTACATCTTTTGTTCCTGAATTTAATAAATGAAGGTTTAAAACTTTTGGCAGATCTGTCAAAATTGAGGAAAAGAAATATTTCTTAAAAACATGTTATTTATAGCAAGTTAGAATCTTTACCTTATTAGACATCAAATTAAACCTATTCTAGAAATGTGAAACAAAATGACAATCACTTGGAAAAAAAAAACGTTAGGGATAATGAACTTACAAGGACACTGTGTATTGTAAGAATTGCTCCCTTCTAGTCAAAAACAAATAAACCCCAGAAGTTCCAAAATCTTCTAGTGAAATCACACATTATTCCTAATCTTTCAGTTTTCCAGCAAAGCACAGTGAAGTAAATTAACAATGTACAGTGTGAAATTATCACATTAAAATCAAATCTAGTTTTTCAATCCTAAACAACCAAATTTTAATTACATATGGCCCACACAGACCCCAAATTTCAGGTACTCTTTAATAAATTTCACATACTCCTTAAAAAAACCTCTGCGTGAGCGGCCATCTAAGATACTCCACTGGTCTAATCCCTTCGGGAGAAAGGGAGAATGAAGAGAACAGGATACAAGGAAAAGATTAGTCCAAAGGACTAACTGTCCACAGCTACCAAGGCCTCCACCGGACCGAGTCCAGTACAGCTAGATGGTGCCCGGCTACCACCACTGACTGCTCTGACC